GAAGGAAGGCGGCAGAGATGCGGAGAGGAGAGAGGCCTCGGACGCTGCCCGAGATCAGAGCAAGGCCAAGAAAGAGGAGCCCGAGGAAGAGGAGGCTGACATGAAGGCAGTTGCCACCTCGCTGGACGGCAGGTTCCTAAAGTTTGATATTGAACTCGGGAGGGGATCCTTCAAAACGGTCTATAAGGGTCTGGACACGGAGACGTGGGTGGAAGTTGCATGGTGCGAGCTTCAGGTAAGCCGAGCTGATCCTCCTATGGGGTTTTATTTCTGCTTTGTAAGCCTGGGAGCTGAGGGCAAGGTGCCGGTGTCATCTACAGAAGCTCAGCGCTGAGCAGCCTTTATAGTCACCATCACTTAGTATCCAGTGTCTAACTATAGCGCAACCCGCTCATTGGCTCCGAACCCACCACCTTATCTACACTCCTCCCTCCCTCAACCCCCTCGGCCCTGGGATCTGGCTGCCCACGCCAAGGCTCTGGCCGCAGGACCTGGTGTAGTGCAGAGAGGTCACCAGCCGTGCTCTCCGGAGGCGCAGAGCGTGCCCAGGAGGGCTAAAAAGAGCTCCCCTTGTCCCCCCTGCCCGCAGCGGCTTGGCGTAGCAGGAGTGGAGCAGCAGGTCAATGTTAAAAAGGCACTGAGCGTAAATGAACTTGAAGTGTGTTTGAAGGAGTGAACTTTCCTTTCGCTACGCACAGAAATGTTTGAGCTGTTGTAAAGACTGAGGATCTGCTGCCCCTGTAACGGCCCTCTCCCCTGCTCTGAAGCTGCGACTGTCGCCAGCTTCTTGTGAATCAAACCTTCAGAAGCACCCGAGTGCTCTCCTTCCCTAGGCCTCGTGCGCCAGTGCTTCCATTGGGTTAAGGACCAGTCTGTCCCCATAACTCTTGAAAGGAAGACTTCAAATAAAAGATCTGGTTTGGGTTCTAGGTCTTTAGTGTGAAGTCATCCAGTAGTACCTAAAAGGAGTGAAGATTTAGGTACTGTCTTGTGCTGGTTTGGGACATAGCTGTTACCCTTTTCTTAGCAATTTTTATCTTCTCAGTTGTGTGAAAATGGCAGTAGTATATGCATAATTTTTTTCTTCATGAAGCTTTTAGTGTCTGTTACTTACCTCATTTCTGCCAGCATCCATTTGAAGGAGACCTGTCTATGAGAAAAACCCAAGATAGAATTTTTTTTTTCCCTTGAGCTATTACTTGGTCTGAGTTACTCTGTAATTTTGGTGTGAACTAGAAAATTTAACTCTTAGTTATAATTTGGAGTCCTTAAACTCCTGCTGGCTGACTGAGCTTTATGGCCTGTGACAGTATTTGAGAATAGCGTGTAAATAAGGTGATATAATAAGCCTGAGCTCCTGGCTGTTTACTTTTTAATGTTGGCCCAATCTGTTTAAATTACTCCTCGGGATAGGTGAGGATGGATGTGCAGCCGTGTCTTTATTCCCTAATGAGTTCATTACACAATATAATCATCATTCACTGCAGCACGACTTCGTTAAGAATATGGGGAACGCCTCTCAGTCTTCATAGTCGTGTGTTCCTGTGGCTTTTATTAGGTAGAAATGCGAAATAGAGCCACAGCAGCAGGGCAAGGCACGTCTGCAGACCCCATGTGCTGGTGGCCAAGGGGTTTCACCCCTATTCCCCCCCCCCCCCCCCCGGGGGGGCCGCGGGGGGCGCCCGGTTGCTTTGTCGGGCTTCAGCTCCAACTGAATCCTGAGCGTGTGAGGCTTCAGTAGCCTGTGATGAATGAAGGTGATAACGGGGATGCTGCTGGGGGGAAGGCTTGTCCGTGGGAGAGGCCGGCGTTGTCAGCTGTCGGTCTGACCAGCGCAGGCCAGCTCTGCCACGCAGAGCGATCGCACGCGTCAGGAGTGCGTCTTGTTGCCAGGTTTTCTCAGTAGGCTCTAGCGGGGGAATTGGAGTAGATATATTTTCAGTGTACTTTCTGTAACAGAGTAGCTTTAACTACAAAAGGCTGCCAAATGTATCAGAGAACACAGCATGTCAAGATTCCAGTGTTTGGGTCACTTATAGCAAAGAAAGGCTGGGAAGGGAAAATTGCAGTGTGAAGCTTACCTGGTGATTGGGTTTCTTATGCCTAGCCGTGCGCATTTGGAAATTTTTGAACTGACTGCATGTGAAGAAATCATCTGTAATAATTCCCTAATTCCCCCTCATTTGCATTATATGTGCTTCAGCTTAACTCTGACCCTGTTGGTAGGTGTTTTGAATTTAATACAGAACTTGTTTTGGGCCCCTGACCTTAAAGACAACTGTTTATTATTCAGCTGCTTTAGTGAGATTGGTGAGGATGCCCAGGAGTGGGTGAGGGCTGCGGGCTCTCCCTGCGCACCGCTGTCTGCTTGCCCTGTGGGTGTGGAGCAGATGCTGGAGGCTGGGTAACAGAGGTGGTACATGGGGGTTGAAGGCCAGTCCTGGGTCTGGATTGAGGAGGTCTAGCTGAATGACAAAAGCCTTCTATCGCCGGGGGGTTTGGGATGAGTGTGCATGAAGGAAGCAGTCAGGAGACGGCGTGAATAGCTGTGTGTTGTCTTGGGCTTTTGACTTGTAGAGCACTCTCTTAATTCAGCTGGGGAGTTTTGCTGGGAAAACATTCAGAGGGAGCTGTCAAGCAATCACTCTATTCACGGGATTTTGAAATTTTTTATGTAAGCTGTGCCAGTTAGATATGCCCCCGTTTGTAGATATTTGGAGTTCAGATATAGCTAGCAGAAGACAGAGTGGACGCCATTGTCGCCATGCTGTTGGAGACAGAATGACTTCCTCTGCAGTCGTGCACCATCCAAACCCACCCTGGAGCCTTCCTGCAGAAAAACTGCGGCGTGTTGTAGTTTGCCTCTCTCCTGGAGATGCGCTTGTGCTTGCTCCTTTTAGAGCCTGAGAGTTAAAAACTGACAGCAGTGAGGTTCCATGCAGGCGTTAATCCTCTCTCCTTGCTCAGCATGTTTTTTTCAGCCCAGTCGTACTGTTGCCTGTGTGTCTTTGTCTCTGTTTTGTCCGTCTGTACAAAGACCTTGCCAGCCCTTGTTCAGTGGTTTTATTTCACTGAAAAGATGGCTTTAGGGTTCAGAACCGAAATCATGGCTTGGATGAGGGTAGGATCCAAATGCTAACCAAACTAGATCTGGGTTTTAGACCTGGCAGAGAAGACATGAAAGCTGTAGTCAAATTCTAGTTAGAAAATGAGTTTATTGTTCCTTCCTGAAACTGAAGTACTGGAGGAGGATTAGCGTGCCATCACGATCTGGGAGGTTTGCATTCTAGGGTTTTGAACAGCTATAATTAATTTTGATTGGTGGCATGCAATCACTGTGTGGCTGAGGCTTCAGCAGAACGGTGTTTCAGTGTTGCACTCCTAAGTAAAAATGTTAAGTCATGAGTAGACAAATACAGGTTTTTACCAACCGGCTGCTGGCAAGCCAGATAATCTTTTTAGTTAGATGAATGGTTTCAAAATCCCCATCCCATTTCCCTTTGGGAACACGCAGGGAAGCTGCAGGAGAGTCAAACCTGGTGGTGTCTCAGACCTCATTGGACTTCATGGTTCTTGCTTGGACTCTGAATACTGAGCTTCTGTTTGATTGTATTTTAGTTTTCTTTGGAAATGTGGGGAGGTTGGACTGTCTCGCCCTGCTGTAGCTGTGCCCGTGGCAGGGAGGTGAGGAATGCCAGTTGGTGAATGCTGTGGGAAACCCATCTTGTCCCACTGGTGGTCTGAGACTTGTTCTCCACCCTGCATCTCCACAGGCAGACATGCTGCTCTAAGGGGGCAGCTGTTTGTCCCTGGCACCTGCAGCTTTTCTGCCAAGCTTCTTGTTGTATAGTTCTGTAGGGAAAAAACTTGATTATCTTTGCAAGATAAGTGTTTTACTTCATAGCTTCATAGCACTTTTTCCTTTTTTTATGGCATTGCCACTCTCTTCAAACTGCCAGAATCAAAGAAAAAAGTGAAGGTACCTTCTATGTCTTAAGTCACTCAGGTATTCGGGAGTTCCAGATTTGTTGGAGGGCACAGACCTTAACTGAAAATTAAGTTCTAAATGTGGATGCATTTCTGAACATTTCTTTCTATTGATTCATATGCAGTATTAATATGGGAACAGATAATGTATTTTCTTGTTCTCTGTTTTTATTCCTTAAATGAGAAGCTCATCCAGATTGGTTAATGGCTGACTGATTTTAATACAGCATGAATATTCTGGAAGTACAAGATGAGATTAGACTTTGTTTTAATGCAAGGTGAATAAAATCATTAATGCTAGACCTATGTAAATGTGCTAATCTTTGTTTCTAAGGCTGATAATCTTTCCTTAAAGCAAAATTCCTAGTTTGGCGAGTGGATGAAGGAAAGATAAGCATGCCGTTTATTGTGAACTGTGTTATGTATGAGAAGGCTGATGCCTATGTAAATGTTTTCTTAAATTTTTAAGTATTGTTTTCCATCCTGTGTCCACTTAGAGGATCTGTGATGGTTGTTCAAAGCTGTACTGAAGGCCCATGGCTCAGATGTTTTTGTGTAAGCAGATACATTTGTGTGGTTAAAGGTGGGAGGTGGTAAAATGGACCATGTGGAAGCGAGTTCACTTTGCTCTAGCTGGCAAGTCACTTCTGGCAAAATGAAGTTATGTGAAGTTAAATTGTGTGGAAGAAGGCTGTGCTATGCCCCTGTGTCAAGAATCCAGGGGATTTCTTTCTGAAACGGGTGGTATCTTCAGGATGTTCGCTGGTGTGGTAGTTCGGCTTTTGTAAGTGTCCTTCTTGGCTGACAGCATTTGTCTGGTGTTGAAAGAGTAGCTGGTTACTATCTGTGCTGTGCAGTTGTTGGCTGGGTAAACTTTGTGGTGTAAAAGAACAGAATAACTTGCAAAATCTGTCTGGGAGAAGAAAGGAGGGAAACTGTACCTGAAAGCTTGAATCTAGTATTGCTGTGTGCTCCTGTTAAATTATCTCTGAGACTGATCTTGGATTTTTTAGGTTAGTTTTTGAGATGGTGACTTCTGGTTAAGTTTAAACAATTGTTTACAGTGTTGATATGAAAACATGTGCCTGTATCTCTGGTGTTGGTTAGTATAGCTATTGCCCTGACAGAGGAGCAGGACAGGGATACGATAGTGAACTATTAATAGACTGCTTCTCAAATTCAGTAAATGAAGTGGAGCTGGGTCAGGCTTCAGAGTCTGCCTTTGAATCGAGTAAGACTCCTTTCTTT